AAGCCACAGTGACTATCCAATTGAAAACATGTAAAGGACAAATGCATGGACACACAAGCCACCTCAATACAAAAAACATGTAAAGGAAAAATACATGGACATATAAGCCACCTCAATACAAGTGTCACCATGACAACAGTTGCAATAGCCCCTTAAACCATACTCATTTACCAAGACAATTGTAAATCTCTACTACCATCAACAAGGATAAATTCGTCATTAAATATAAGCCTCAAACTTTCTTATGATTAAAGCGAGACTCCAAATCTTTCTAGGTTAGTCACTCACAATTGACAAAGCATCAAGAGCCCAAGGGTGCAGTAGCATAACTATTCTAGGTCCAATAGTAGAACTTAGAGGATCCACACCAAACAAAGAACTAAATAGAAGCCTTCCCAGTTCCACACTTGTTCATCTCAGCAATGGCCACCCTCTAGGGCATATCCATGGGTAATAAAAGAGTATACGCAAACCATGGATAATCCTCTAGTTGCAAGTGAATCATGGTAGTCCTGCATCCTTTCTCCAAAAGAGCAATCTTCGGATGAGGAAGCTTCAAGTTCAATGTGTTCTGATTTGACAAGTCCCATAGACTTTGAATTAGAGTTCATCACACTAATGAGCGTGCAAACTCCTTACAAATACATATACAGACAGCCAGACAGACAGACAGAACACTAGTTCACTACAATCTCAAGATCTCTAAAAGAGATCAATAGGTATGGTCCTAATCATCCAATATAAGGAACTACAAGTCGTAACTTAGGAAGTCGTGATCGTTGAACTCTTGTTCTTGCATGGCTTGATCATCGTCAGCTCAGGGGCAACACATCCTCAAGAGCAAGAAAACAGAACCATTACCGTAATCCAGGCTAGTTACTTAGAATTCTACAGATTACAATTCAAGGCCACTAATTGCATGAGATAATTTAAGAATCCCAATAAAGATCTTATTTTGATTTCTGTGATTGCACTTAAGCTATATGAGGCACAAAAACAAAAAAGAGAAATATTTCGAAATAGACTACTATTTACCCATCCATCTTTGATCAAACTTAATCACAAAAAACTACAGCGAAAACAATAAAAATCAAAATACACTTACTGACTGTTATAAGCATAATAGCTCAATCTGATTGGTATAAAAACATAGCCTTTTTCAACTTCTCGTTTCAAACTATCACGATTGACATCTCACACATAAATAAGCAATTCAGAAATCCATCAAAAAAACCCAGACCTTAAATCAACTAAAACCGACAAGAATCGCATCTTTTTCCCACTATTCTTTAATTTCCACAACCAATCAGCTATAGTATAGAAACAAGAATCCCAAATATTACCATCTTACAACCCATGTGAGTAATCAATTCAAAAAACCCATCAAAACCCAGAAATAAAATCCACCAAAAACCATAAATATCTAAGGATCAACAAAATTCATATAATAAAGGTACAACCTTGGTCCTTGACATACTCAGCAAAGGTGTTGCAGTCTGAGCAGAGAGCCAGACCATTGAATCCCAGACTCTCACACTCTTTCGTGCTAAGTTGCTGCTCTTCTTCTCCTCTCACCGAAACCGCCCAAAGCAATGCTAGCAACATCACGGCGTAGATCAGCAACCTGCCCATTGTGGTGAATTTGCAAAAACACACTCATACAGTCCTTGCCTGGAAGGGAAAGAAAATAGAAGAACAAAGTCGGTCAATGAAGGGCATTTGCTCCATATATTTTACCCTTTTGGGGACCACGCTGAATTTAAACAAAATACATATACATAAATATTTGTCTCTCAGGTTTTACTTTTGAGTTTTCACTACTCCTTTGACTCCAAATGGTGGAATTTGGTTTGTACAAAATTCATTTTTTTTAAGTTTTAGGAACTAATTTTTTTCTTTTGTATACTTCTATAATTTAATTAAGTTTAAAAACTCGAATTTTTTTCCCAAAGCTTAGGGACCATAGGGTATTGATAATAATCAAATATTCAGATTAAGTTGTTATGTGGTTATTTTATTAATGGTCAATTCCAATAAACCCCCTCAAAAAAAGGATTCTTTGTCACATTGCCCCTTGAATGTTTAATTGAATCAATCCACCCTATGTACTATTATAATTTTTCTCAATCAAGTACAATTGGGCAGCACAGCCCAATTTGGAGCTGAATTTGGCATATGATATGCACATGTTTTTGTGAGTCAGACAGATTACTCCCAATCTTAATTACCAATGTGTAATTACTTACTCTTGATGAAACATTTTCTAAAACAATCTAGTTATTCTCTATATCGCTGAAAATTTTAATTTTATGAAGCTTTTGATTAATCATAATTGAAGTTTATCTTACTATATATTAGCTTATGACTAATGTTTTCGTTATCTTTGTTACAAACCAAAATGTATTAAAAAATAATTTATATTTTGCAAGGTTAAAAGTTTGTACAATATGTCTAATATTTATTCACAGTTCATCTTGACTTATTTTATTAGTTCAAAAGTTTATTCCAAACTTTTTTGTGAAAATTTATATAGCGTGTAAAGGGCATTTGGCCCTGCATAGGAACAAAAGAAAATTTTATACAACATGGGAAGGTAATTTGATCAATTCATGAACTCATGTGCATTGAACATGTCAATTCAGTCCGAAATTGAGTTGCCCAACCCAATTATATCTAATTGAAAAAATTGTAATAACAACATAGGAGGATAAAATGATGCAATTAGACATTGAAGGGGTCTACACAAGAAAAATGCATTGGAATTAACCATTTTTTTCTTATTTACAATCCCTCTCACCTTACCATTCAATCCAATCCTCCCCGGCCGGTCTCCCCCACCAAATTAATGTGAATCTTAATTCTACTATCACACAGTATATGAAATATTAATTATAAGTGCAAATAAAGAAACTTAAAAATCACTTAAAATTGATCGTGTATAAGTGCAAACACTTGTTTGCATTTATTAGATGAATTTGATATGACATATCAAGTTTAAGTGCAATAAGGAACCTTAAGAATCACTCAAATCCCTCGATTGGTTTACCAAATTGGTCATAAAGATGAAGTGGGATTCATTACCTTTAAGAATAATGGTGCCTGAAATTAATCATGCCTATAATAGTAATATTTTTCTAGTTAAGAATATGTTTGTGCAATTTTTTTCTTGTAAATGAGTAGTGAGATTTAAAAAATAGAGAGGGTGACGGAAGCATTTAAACTCGAAACTTCTAATTCCTAAGGACTTTTCCTTAATTACTAGACAAAATATATGTACGTGCATTCGTATATTAGTTTCATTGCTATTTCACTCAGCCCTCCCCTCAAAGATTTTTTGTAAACCGCTATTAACCATGGAATCACATTTTTCATGTACATAGATAGAATTTATAATTAGGATTAATGATTCCATCTTTAAAAACCAACAAAATAAATTAGAATATTAGAAGGTCAGTCACTTTATTGACCAAAATAAATGGAAAATAGGTCACAATCAAAAGTGCAAAATGAGACGACAAAAAAAAAATAGTATCAAGCCATCGCACCAATGACTTTAAAACACTTTCATTAGATACCAAGCCAACTGCTAAGTCCTATCAAGAATTCAAGTTGACTCAGTCGACAACTAAAAACATCGAATACCTATTAAGATAAGTCAAACAACAATTAGCAGTTTTGATGCCCATCAAGAAAACACTTTTTTTTTTTTTTTTGAGTTCTAGCAACTATAAAAGGAAGAATCTGCAGCAGAGATGATCAAGTCCTTTGGAGAAAGAAAAACTCACATCTGCCTCCAAACTCAAGCATCCACTTTGAAGACGGCAATTGCAAGAACAAATACCAAACAATAATCCAAACCACTTTTGGATTTTTAACTAGAAATTATTTTCTTGTTCCTTCTTTTTGTTTCATATTTGAACCATCAATTAGCATATTCAAAATCTTCGACCGTTGTACAAAGTTCATCAATTCAACATACCAACCATAGTACAAAGTCCATCAACCAAGCAAGTATTTTAGTTAATGTACATTTTCTTTATCAATAAAATATTTTGCCTCATCTTGATATCTATGATTTTATGTTGCATTAATTTGATATAATTCAACATCAAAAACTTGTCTAAAGTTTCTTTTACATGTGTTTAAATACTAAATTACAAATTAATTCTCAGAGACCTCTGAATCAATCTTATGTCCAAAAGTACCCATACCTAAGATAAATAGGGAAAAAAAGATGCCGATAAAGAATTAAGAATAATTTAGGTATAATAGAATTAACCAAGGTAATGACTGAAAAATCTTTACTTGGGTAGAAATTGCCCCTAAAGGATAGTGTTGTGGGCATGTGGAGTGCTTTTAGAGATTTTTATATGAATTTGAGAACGCAATTGTCATGGATTTAATTTAGTTAGCATTTTATTTCATTTGAAAAATTTAAATATAACTATTTACACATAAATGACCATATTGATCAAAGATTCAAAATTTCAAAGATTAGGGACAAACAATGCAAACTCAAAACTTCTGACTAATTTCAATTTGATTTTTACCATTATATATTATAATTTTCTATTAATTGTCCTAAATCTGCCTAAAAAAAAAAAAAGCTTTGAAAACCACTTTTATTTTGCAAGGTGACATTATCAAACGTTAATAACCAACACTACAATTCTCCCGTTATAATAATGTGCAAGGTGACATTGCCCACTGCGCCAGATTTTCCACATCAACCTTATGCAGCTAGACTTAGCATGAAGCGTGATGTTCCCGTGCAGGCGTCTTAACACTTCAAGAGGTAAGAGTAATCGGCGCCCAATAGTTTCCGATCATGCGGAGCGTTTTTGTCAATTTTCTGTTACAAGTGCTGAAAATTATGCTCCTAAATAGTGCTTTTATTTCGTATAACAAAACCAATTGACATTGGCGCTCCCACCAGCCACTAGAAAAACAACCAGAACCAGTACATGTCAAAATGCTCAATAGACGAGCCAAAAGAGGTAAGAGTAACTTGGTTAAAGCAAGATTCTCTTTCAACAAAGACGGAAAAGAATTCCCATTCTTTTAATTAAACAAAAATTTCCATTAACACAAGGAACACAAAACACACCACTGGTTCTCTACAAAGGAGATAGGGTGGGACAAAACATAAAGATTGGCAGCCAAATGACATGTTACAGAAGACTGCAGTTGTTCACAACAGAATGCCAATTGAAGAATGGACTACAAGAGCCTTAAAACCCATATTGACCCACAATAACCTTAACAAGGGCGCATTACTATCTGATTTCTGGCGCGACCGACGGAGCAGAGGCAACATTTTCGGTTGTAGCATTTGAAGTTCTTGATTTGATACATGAACGAGCGACGTCCAGCATAATGTCAACCTCTTTCTTGTACTGCATATTGTGACAATGAGCATCTATTGCACTACTATGTGAAATATACTGGCAGTCTAAACTTGACATTAACTAAAAATAAGTACCAAAAAGAGGAAAAATTTAAAATGCACAATGGGTCCATACCTCATTGATAGCGCCTGCCTTGATTTTAGACTGCATCACACACCATTTCTTAAAATGTGCCCCTACAGTAGAAGTTGGGAAGAAAAATATTGAGTTAACATCCTACACATATTTACTTAGAAGGCTTGAAAAAACTAGGCTGTGACTGCTTAGCTAACTATGTTCTGACTAGTCCAAGAGAGTATGTACATCAATGATTAAAGGCAAAATAGATGGAAAGGTAAAAGAACATTAACAACTCAATCAGGAGTAGGTAAAGCCAGACAAGGTAATGAGCACCATCCTTGGCTGCCAAATATTCCTCCATTAGGTTTAACTTGTTTGACTCGAAAAACTTTTCAGTCTAACGATTCAGCCGAAGGAAGCTTAAACTAATTAAGCAGCTCGAGCAACAACAGACTGTAAACTTGAATACATAATAGCACAGGGAAATTCATGCAGAAGCACATATTCTGTTTGCAGCTGCCCTAAGTTTAGTTGCTTCTGTCAAAGCTTTTTCCCTAGGAAGCTGCCGTTGCATGTCAGAAGGGTAAATATGGAGTTTTGCAGCCCTCTTAATACTATAGGAACAGTAAATCTATTGCTCAATTTATTTCTTGAAGATTGAATTCAGCTCTCTGGGCTTTTCCTAGACCTTAGGAACTAATCCCTCGAGAACTATTTTGCTATTTTGCTGGCCTTCTCACATTTTTCTCTGAACCAGAATGGAAATACAGTACTACCAAAAAAAAAAAGATATAATGTGAATCCTCTGGAAACACATATTAACCTCAGGATCCTAAAGGAAAAACTTTAGAAGCCATAACTGGTATAGGTAGTTTATATTGAGTTTGCATACTGATTAACAAGAAGAAACCCCATAGATCCAAGAAAAGCTGTGTTGAGAAACAGGATTACAAGAGTGTTGAAACAGCAAAATTACATCCTGAACACTGAAAATATATACGATAGAGGTGAGCAATATTGCCTAGTAAAACCAAGCCCCTTAGCAACTACCTAGGTGAGACTGTAAGTGTGCTGGATATTTCCTTAAAACCATGATTTCAGTGTTACACTATCTCTTTGATAGTAGCTCAGAGAGACAAGCATTGTCAGGAATGACTCATCATTCCTCAATCACTCGAAGTGTATGCTAAAATGAAAATGGAACCATAGCTAATGACTCATCATTTAGCAGGCCTTTAAGAAAATAACACCCATACCAAACATCAGCGGATAACTCCTTGCTCTTGCAAAATTCCAATCTTGGCCTCCAGCAAGAGACCACATCTTTCTTGATTATTAAGTAAGTTATATCATGAGTAAATTTATTATTACTGGACCTTACAAATGTATCAGTACTTCAAAGAGACTATTAGATCACATTTACTTTTGGACACGAAACATTTTCCAAGAGACTGCTCATCCTTTGCTATTTTTGAGGCCAAGCGCATAAATGTCTTCATAGATAGGGTTTTTTCTATATTTTGCATTCAACCCACTTGATACATCTGATAAGATTTTTTCCAAAAAGAAAAACAAAAATTGGAAAAAGATGACTTTGAAGTGTGTTAGAAATATTCTGGAAATATTTAGGGCTTTGAAATGGAAGCAATAAATGGATGACATCCATCAGTGTTCAGTCTGTTAAGATACCATTTTCAGAGATATGAGAGAGAGAGAGAGGGGGTTAAACTGAAACACGTGGAGATTTTCTTGATTAGGCCAACCATAAACCCCCTCTGTAACACCCATGACAAGAATGTTCATCGAACGTTCTTAAACAATGCCAGGCCAGTGCATCATGATGCCAAAAAAAAGAAGACAATTCTGCAAAGTGAAAGAGCAAAATGTTAGCATGTTTGAACTGCAGGATGAAACTTACCCACTTTTATATCCATGATGCATGAGGAGTCAGACTTGCTATCTAAAGACCATCTACAGTGAACCTGAAACAGGAAAGTGAGTAGTCAGACATACATGCCACATATATTGACATCTCAATGTGAACACTCAATGAAGATGCAGATGTTAGGAAAATGTGGTAACGGTGTTGAGTGCATTTAAGTTATAAAGAATTTTTATGCATGGAAATCAGCTATACAGATTGCAGCATATTTGAAACAAATACTCATACATGTCAAGCTACTATCTTATCATAATATAGTCTGTGGATTTAGAAAAACTTCTAATGCAACTGATATACCCTGTACTCAACTACTTTTACAAATTTTAAAAACCAATCGTATTCAGTGATGCCTTAATGTCTAAGAGTTTGATGATGTTCCCAACATGAGTCTCCTATATTTCTTTATGGCAGTGCCAGAATAATGTGAACTCCCTTGAATGGAGATTTTCAACTACAGAACATTATCCTTGTCAGATACCAAAGCACTTGCATGAGTTTCCAAGCCGTGTTTCCCATCTTCGAACTAAACTAAATTTTTTCAACTCTTCCTTGTGCCCAACGAAAGTAGTACATCCATTTTAATATGCAGGGAACAACATGTCAGGTGAAGTTTCAGTATTCATGCCTTTCCCATTACTTGCAAAATGCAGAGTTGGAATCAAGAGAAGAATCTAAGATGCCATCATCATCATTCACTCACCAGGAAACTCAAAATTGGGTAATTCATATTTCTCCTTTGAAGGCCATACAAAAACCAGAAAGAAGCAAGGTAAAATTATGAAAGAGTAGGAAGAGTACCTTGGCTTCAAATAAACTTGTTTTCCAAGAATAAGACTAGTTTACATTTTTTTTTCAAAATATCCTACCACCCTCCTCACACCCAACTGCTGGCCCAAGATTCAAACCCCAAACCTAGCAGTGCAAAAGAAGCTGAAAACATTTGATGCATTATCTTGTAATTACCATTCCTAAATTAATTTTATGAAAGCAAATCCCCAGTCATACAAAACATAGTTTTCCAAGTATCTCCCATTCAATTTTATCTATACTCCATTCTATACTTTATTATTTTTATACTTGTATTTCCAGCGTAGCAAAAGTTTATATATCAGTGTCAGCAAAGATTGCTGTACATTCTTTATTTCGAGAAACTCATTCTCAAACATGACACAGTCGCTGTTAGTACCAGTTAAGTATAACAGGTTATCAACTAATATCAAACATCACCAAATTTGGCTCTCGAAAACTGGATTTAAATCATACAAAAGGACATAAGAGAGAACATCAATGCAGCAGGAAAATCTGAACTTAAAAACATTTTAGTACTACGAGTCCAACTGACAAGCAACTCAATCTTTTAAATGCAATATACCATTAAACAGAATAGTTAATCCAAATCTTAAAACACATTACAAAACATATGACAGTGAACCTCATGTAACATATGAAATGAGATTAGAACTCTTTGTAGGGATAAAAGAAAATGAAGTTTACAAACAACAGAACAAAGAAAGATCACAACACTGATGAACCCAATATATCACCAGAGGTAGGGACTACACAAATGGACAATAATTCTGAGCAAATTATAAAAAAAAAAAAAAAAAATAGAGGAGTTCAAAAGAGGCATAACCAGTTTCACGTGACTCTTTATTGCCCAACTCCACCCCACTTCCCCCCTCCCCACCCCCCGCACATGCGCTAAAAGGAAAATTTGAAGGCAATTTAGAAAAAGATCACTAAATGCTAACAAATATAATGAGAAAAAACCAAAACTTCAAGCAGTACACACAATTGGTTACTAGATGACTAGCAGACAATATGAATATATCAATATTATCAGTAGATAACTCAGTCCAAGACAATTAAATATGTAGGAAAAAGAGGTAATGAGAATCTAACACGGTATAAACGATGACCAAAAAACTGGCATACCTCGAAATAAGATCCAAAAGGAACGTCATGTGCCTGTTGTACAGTCTCAAAGACCTAAAAAGAACAAAAAGGAAATGAAAAACATCAACACCACAGGAGGACAAAGGAAAGGAAAAAAGACACATAACTAGAGTAACGGAAATACGTAACATAAGAAAACAGACCAGCATCTTTTTATCTGCTGATAAAACCGCATGTTGCCATTCTGTCATTGCTGTATCTGGAGGGCACATTGGGCTGTTGCATAGTGATCTGAGTGTAATTTCCCTGACTTGACCATCATACTCATCCGCAGCATGCCATGGACCCATCTAAAGACAGCAGCAACCAATTTCAAAATTTTCCACAACAGCAAACCAAATTCTAAACGTCTAGAATGGATCACAATGGCAAATCTTTATCTTCCATCAGACTACATAATACGCTAAATCTGTTAAAAACATAGCTCCAAGCTTTGCCAGCTATATATCACAAATTGACAAAACTGAAACATCTATTGGGGTTATTCATGACAACAGAAAACCGCATGAAGCGTGATATTGCATGTTGTTTGGTCATCAAGTCAGTTGTCGTTCTCCCTTTTTGATTTCTATGTGCAAGGATGCCTGACAAATTAGTGAGGAACGCTTAGTAATCCCTGATGGCACAATACAGGGCCAGCTGTTAGCCTGGTTCCTAGTTGCTTTAGTCAACTAGAGTGTGTTGCCAGCCGTTTAGCACCAGAGAAACAAGAACACTAAGCCTAACCTTATTGAGAAAGCAAACTGACAACATATAGCAACTAAGCCAGCAGATTAACATGAAGCAAATCTATGACGCCATAAGTATTGGCAAAGCTTCCTTGGCTCGTGTAAATATGGAAGATTGTGCATATCCTTCTGATCACAGAATTATCACCTTCTATTCAGTTTTTCTCATTGTTCTTCTTCAACTGTTAGTAATGTTATGCAGATTTTATCAAAAAGGAGGCAAATAGTAAAGCCAACTAGGCTGGACAAACACCTCACAGTACAGTACAGGTCTAAAATAATAATTAATTTACAAGGCCTTACCTTCCACTTCAGCTTGAAATCACATTACTATGCATCTTTAGAATAAACAAAAATAAAGCCCACTAAAATCTAATCCAGCTATAGCTATGTTTCAAAAGCATTTGTTCAACAAACTAGAAAAACTGGCTAGGTCATTGGTCACTGGTCTAACCATTCGGCCAGACACAATCAACTCATCAACTCATAACATCAAAATAACACTGTAGAACTGTGGACATTATCAGAAAGATGTGGATATTTACATAAGTAGTTACAGCAATTACCATATTAGTGTAGAAAGCAAAATTTAAACCACTATTCCATCTATGAATGTAAACCATAAAAAGTTTCTGGTAAAGATTTTGGTTGTACCACAAAATAAGTTAATCTCATGCTAAAGAAAATAGAAATATTCTAATTGTAATTTTCAATGGGACAAATGTAGATTTCCAACTTCCAATATTTAAAGAAAAGGAAAAAGACAAATAAAAACTGAATGAACAAGAGAAAATCAACAGTAGATAGGAACAGAAAGTTCAAGAGAAAGTCAAAGGTGAAACAGTTCAAAAAGAATATGAATGAGTATAAGCTCGTTAATGTGAGAGAGAACAAAAATAGATCAAGTGAGAGAGAATAAACTTACATGGGCCAACAGATAAATCAAAAAGATAGAATTTATACTGTAAGGTCCTGAATATATGCACGATATGTCATAAAGGCATGTGGATTCTACGAAGAGGTAAATGTTTGGCAGTCTCACACACACACGGAAAAAAAAAGTGTCAAAGACCATCATCAAAAGTCCAAATGACTAGACTGTTTGATCCATTAAAGTTTTTTTTTTTTAAAAAAAAAAATTATTCATTGTCCTTTTCTTTTTAGCAGGGGGTGGATTTTAGAAGCGGGAGGAGGAGGAAAGGTTGGGGAGGAGGGGTTTTGAACCCAAGACCTCGAATCCGTGGGCCATCAACCTTACCTTAGCCATTTGACCAAGGCCTCTCACCAAGTTGCCTAATTTCTACGGTTTGATCCAGTCAAATTGCATAATCATATTTAGCATCATCCTCGCTAAGAAAAGCTAAAACTAATCAAGCTTAAAATAGGAAGTCTATAGGCGGCACAGCTAATACCACTCAGCAAACATGCTGATTTAGCAGTATAACAATGAAGCTTGTTAAGGAACAATGAAGAAGGTTACCCACCGAAAGATTGGTATCTTTTCGTACTGCTCGATACTCATTTGTGAAGGTTGACCCATCATTCAGTAGTAATTCAAAGAATTGCTCTGCCGTGCATGGGAAAGTATCCTGAGAGGATCTTTGTTAAAATATTATTGATCATATATGATACAAGAATTTTTAATTCCAAATGCAAGAAAAGCTTAAATTAGATACATACACTGTAGATACTAGAAAGTACATCCTCCCTGATAAATGGTTGAAACTTTGCAACACTTTCCTTTGGAACCTTATCTTGACGCTTGCTACCTCTGATGGAACTACTATGAGCACGTAGTGCTGATTGTTCCTTCTCCTATACACCAGAAAGGAAAAGATAATGAAGCAGTAATGTTTCCAAAAGATTATGATTTCATTTCATTTGATGTCTTTTATTTATTTATTAAACACCCCTTGAGAAAGAGGGTGCTAAGAGACGTCTTCTTGAAAACAAATGAGCTCAAAAAAAAATTTCAATATCAACAAAATTCTCTATACAACTCCAGGAGTAAGATATGGCGCTACATGCATCAATTATGATAACATTGAGGCAGAAAATTACCCAGCATCATCATAGAGAACAAAATGCAGCTGCAGACTGAACTAGAAGTATCTGATAGCTTGTCATTCTTCAATTTGGTACTGAGGTTTCATTATAGATTAAAACTAGGGCAAATTGACCCCAACAAACACATTCAGTTAGACTATCATTGTCTTGAAATATTTTTACAGGTCAAGGGGTTCATAAGACAACTTTCATTTCTCTTGTTGGCAGGAAATATCTAAATAAGTTTTTCTTTTTTTTTTCCAGTTTAGTAAAGCAAGAACTTAGACAAATACTCAGGATTACAAAGATAAATTAAGGTTTTTCAAAGAATAAAATTTAGACAAAGCAGCAATTTGTTACACTCACAGAAAACAAAAACACCAGAGACAGCATATATATATATAAAATAAAAAAGAGAGAGCTGTGAGGCAAATATCTGGAAGGCAAGTGGGCTCCATGTCAGACCAGGCAACTCCCTGAAAGCATTTCTATGGGAGTTGGCCTTTTTATTCTCCACAGAAAGAATTTTAAATTTTTGGATCAAACACCCATTAGATGAAGTCCAACATTCCCTATGAATTACTAAATTTAACTGCCCATTAAATGGGGGCTTTTAGGAACTAACTCACACCTCTGTACCAAACTTGAACGTCAACCTTTCCATATTCCGGACTGATCTTACTTTCCTTCATAGAATACCACAAAAACAGATTCGCTCTCCTTAATAGGATATCTTATGTGCAAAATGCTAACGCACCCTTGCGTAGTTAAAGTTAAAATTATCAACGTAGCCCCAGATTTTCCCTGTATTGAGAAAAATTAAAATTTAAGGTCTAAACACATAGTAAGACGGTTTACAACAGAAAAGGAGATTGTTTTCCGACATTTTACATTCATCTTACATGAAAAGTCCTTTATTATTTTGACGATCTATGAAGCAAAGCTGTCTAAGCAATCCATACAAGCAAAATGAATCCCATTGAAGTAGATGATGTAAGAGATTAATTCACAAACAAATGAAGAAAGAAAAGCTAGCACTCTGACCTTCTTCTCAGATTCAAGCATTGTATGATAGTTCTTTGCTGAACGCTGTAAACCTCTCAAAGCATGGTTTCTGTTCCAAAATGATGCAAACTTATACCTAACTCTACCTGAAATTGTAGAAAGTACAGCAGTTTGGCTCATATACAGGCATCAAAGCATATAGAATTAACAGAAGTCACAAAATCACAAATATGACCCCACAGATTTCCCCACTAATCTCTGTCTAAGCAAAAATATCCATCAACAGAATAGAATAAAACACAATGAACAGAAAAAAGATTTGAAGATTCACGGCCAAAGAAGGAAAAGAAAAAAATCAAGATAAACTAAGCTACCTAGGTACAGCAGAAGTATATGACAGAATATTTTGGGGATTCCCCATTTAGAAAACAAAAAATTATAACATCTTAAGTTTGACAGTCCATTGGAGTTTGTTCATCGGATTCATTCACTTGAGTGATTTGATGTTGGACTTTCATTTCATGCACTTCAATTCCCTTTTAAACTACATCTTTAAAACCTTCTTCTTGAGACTTTTGCAACTCCATGTCACTTGTTAGAATGATTGCATTCTCATCTTCCTTAAAGTCGATGATGGTCTGTGAGGGCAATTTTTCATAAATTGGAGAAATCAATTTGCTTATTATAGAGGCCCGTTCAGAACTTTCATCTTCCATCTCTTTTTGAATTTGATTTTGACTCTTATCCTTCAGAACCGTAGGCCCTTTAATTTCTTTTCCACTTCTGAGGGTCATGGCACTCACATTTATTGGGTTAACTTCAGGTTGAGATAGAACCCTTCCTTTCTCTTGAAACTCCAAGCAATGTAGTGTAGAGGCCATCTGACTCAACTGATTTTCTATGTTTCTTATGTTCGTGTCCGTCCTTTGTTGGTATTGAATGGCATTTTGCTGGAGTTGCATGGTGTTGGCAACCAATGTCTTGACCATATCCTCCAAAGACATGTCAGCATTTGATGAATGAGATTGAGATTTGGAGGGGTACTACGGCTGAAAACCTTGCTGCCTAATGGAAAATGAATTTTGCTGTTTGTTGCCTCCATAACTGAAATTCGGATGGTCTCTCCAATTCGGATTATACGTGTTGGAGTAAGGGTCATACTGCCTACGAGGCACAGACACGTTGCCAGCCATGCTCACTTGTTCAACTCCTTCATCTTGTAACACTGGGCATCAATCTGTAGGATGATTCGTATCTTTAAAAATACCACATGCTTTGACCTGCTGCAAATTCCCTACAACAATTGTCGAATAATCAAAGTTAATTCAGATATTTGTTGTTGAATTGATGAGACATTTACCCTATTTACTCGACGAGCATAGATATCCTTCCTTGTGTCAAATTGTTGAGAATTTTCTGACATCCTTTCTATCAATTCTCAAGCATCTTGGGGGGTCTTTTTCACCAAAGAATCTCTACTGGTAGCATCTATAAGACTTCTATCTGTATATAGCAAACCTTCATAGAAATATTGATTCAGGAGCTGCTCGCTAATCTAGTGTTGGGATTATCTAGTACACAGCTTCTTGAATCTCTCCCAGTAGTCATAGAGAGACTCTCCCGGATGCTGAGTAATGCCACATATTTCCTTCCTCAGACTGGCGACTCTGGACGCAGGAAAATATTTTTTCAAAAATTTCTTCTTTAACTGGTCCCAAGTTGTTACACTACCTGGTGGTAGATAATACAACCAATCTTTTGTTGCGTCCTTGAAGGAAGAGGGAAATGCTCGCATTTTTATCTGTTCCTCAGTAATTCTGAGAGGCTTCATATTTATGCATACTACATCAAATTCCTACAAGTGCTTGTAGGGCTCTTTATCTAAAAAATCATGAAAAGAAGGTAAAAAGTGAATTAGATCAGACTTTAATTCAAAAGGGGTATTTTCATCTAAATTTGGAAAGGTAATGCATAATGATTGCTGATTTAAGTTTGGAGCAGCCAACTCCCTTAAAGTTCGACCATTAGTCATAACAACGTTTTCTTGATCAGAATCACTCGAGGTGGCACTATGCGCAATCTATCTCAGGGTCAAAAATTAATTCACCTGTATAAGAGGAACGAGGCATAAAATTGAGAAAGAGAAAAAAAATAGAAATTCAAAAATAAAATGAACTCAAAAAGAAAATAAATTAACTAACGCTAGTCTCTGGCAACGGTGCAAAAAATTGACAGGTGTCGAGATTGTATAATAATAAATACCTACTCGAGAAAAATATAAATTTGTATATAACGGTGAGTAGGGTCCAATCCACAGAAATTGGAGATAATTTGTTTCTTCTAGAGTTCAGAGTATGGGAGAGTTTTTTAATAAAATATAAAATTAACCAATTAACTAAATAAAAGCAACTCAAAAAAATAAACAGGAATTAATCAATAATATATACGACTCTAAGCAAAGGTGCAACTTTTCAAATACCGTCCATTCAACTGATCATCGATGCAAAGATAATTCAATTACTCATTAATAGATTGGTTATAGTTGTCACATACACCGACCTTTTCTTATTTTTTCGAAAGTCAAGGTACGACTGTTAACTATTTTCCTAACTAAAAAATAACCTTAGGTACGACCGTAGGATTCAATTCCTTAATTGTATTAAGAATTAGAAAAGTCAAACCCTAATCAACAAACACGCTACTAGGATTTGTTTAAATTGGATCATACATTTCCCTAACATGGGACCAATCATGCTAGTCGCCACTGGTATTAACCAATCAAACAATTACGGATTTAACTGGTTAAATTGGCAGTAGATTATTAGGTTAATTCGAATATCGGACCCTTGACATTCAAATAACAAAACAATCATAAGAAGTTAAACCAGAAAACGTATAAATATCAATGAATAAAAGAAATAAATAAAAATAATTCGATCTCACAGATATTTGGAACCGAATTTTCAAGTTGACCTTCGACTAGAAAAGAAATTTAGTTGCGCATAGCCAATTGGAGCAATTCACACCACTTTTCCCAAGCCAGCCGCATGATTGTTTGATAAGAGAAAAACTAGAGAAAACAAAAGATTGGCCAAAAGGACAAGCAGCCATCCTTCCTCCCTTTTACCGAAACTAATCAATCCCCTAAATAGACTAAGAGACGGCCAAATCGTAACTTCACAAGTACTCCTAGTAGCCACAACTTCCTTCCTATTTTGTAGCTTTGAAAATAAGATAAACTTCCTAATTTTTCTAAGAAAAAGATAATTCCTAAATTGATAAAAGATAATTTAAATTGTTTCCCAACTGTAATTGGAAACATGTTTCGTAAGTCTTCGACTTGAATTAGGAAACTGTCACGCGCGAATCTTGGCTTCTCTAGACTTGACGGCAATTCTTGGAAAGTTATCCCTTTTAACCACATTTTGCTCATTTTACTACAATTAGCACAATTAACCAAATATAAGTAGAATATATCAATTAAAATAATATTTGATAAAATAAAAAAGAAAAATAATCATAAAATTAATGATAAAAATGCAATCTATCAGCTTTGTTTCCATAGGAATCAGCCAATTCAAGAACAAAACTTGCAGCATATACGTCATCAGAACTATTCTTCTTCCAGATTTCCCTAATGGCTTAGGAAGAATTACTGTATCCATATCCCAAATCACAGCTTGAAGAATGTTGCTTGATAAAATTTTGTGTGGGAACTTGCTGTTTTCTTCAACATTAGTGCCACCTTCAAAACCAGATACTATTACAGACCAAGACTTCATTGCATTACTGGCTTTCTTGGGGGTAATTTGAAGAAATTGTTCTCCGAGTACAATCGTATCATTAAACGCCATCAAAGAATCAAAGTTAAACACTTGCGGCTTAAAATTTCTTTCATGTTTTAACTCAGAGAAAACATGACTAAACAAATCATCACAGAACTTTGTCCCATTTATTTTCCCATGAATCATCTTCGAGGCTTGGAGCCCAGCATAGCCACTATTCTTTTCTATAGACATTTCATCATTTACCAAAATCTGACTATCAGTTACTTGACAAGATAGATATGATTCATCACATTTTCTAGCTTTTCTAGAAAACTTAGAAGACACAACTAAGTCAGTACTTGAAAATTGTGGGAAAGAAATCATACCAATTTTTTTCTCAATTAACATCTGATTGAAATTACTGATCTCAATTTCAAGAAGTTGATTCTTGAATTCTAATTCCCTTTCATTGCTCAACGCTGAATGTTCCAACTCCTCTTGAACTGAAATTGCTGAAGAAGGAAATTTTGAACTTTCACCAAATAGGTGGTGTTCTTCAATTGCAAAACCATAGTCACCTTCCAAATATTCCTCCATTTCACCATGGAGGACTTCAAACTTGTCTGTTTCTGCCATTGCCAAATGTGCATCAGTCCACTTCTTGATTGGGGTAGATGTTGAATAATGGATCTCCTTGGAATTTGATTTCTCTATTTCTTCAAGAATTTGATTCTCAAAAGCCCCTTCAATGCCTACTACAGATTCTTCAATTATTTCTCAATCTTGATTGGATGAAGGAGGCTGTCCTATTTTTTCAATAATCCTTTGATGCTATTCTAGTGTGAACCCCTGTTTATGATTGAGTACCCGAAACATAACATTGAAAGTACATCTGTATTTGTAAATTGACACATCCAATTCATGATAGCCTTTATTTCCTTTTGCAATCAATTGATCGTGGAATCTTTGAGCTTGCAATCCAATTTGTCCCTCCAATTCATCCATATTCAGATCACCTCTCTGGATTTGATCTTCCAAGAGTTGATAGTTGATGTTATCATCCATTGGTAAAATCTGACAAGTCTATAATCTGGAAATCAGTCCAAAATGTTGGTGGATTAACGATGTCAGTTGAAGACTTCACAAAAGGAATCGGAGAAAGAATTAGAAGGATTAGGAGGAAGAATTAAATAAGAGAGAAAAGAAAGAATCAGTAAGGAGCAGAGATAGAATAGAGAGAGGGGAAGGGAAGAAAGAAATTGAGGCGAAAAAAGATCTTGCAATTGCTAGGTTCCAAAAGCTTCCGTCCGAGGATCGGAAACTCTGATATCAATTGTAATGACTGCAACTAGTAAAGGAAGAATCAGATAGAGAATTGAGACAAAGGAGAAGAGCAGAAAGGAGCAGAAATGAGAGATATTTTGGGAAAGGAACAGAGAGGCTAAATATTATTCAAAAAAGGAGATTTTGTGACAGTCCCACCTAACCCTAGGGCGTACCCAAGGGTTTGGCGGACCGCCTGCCCAACTCTCGCCAGAACTCAGTCAAACAACATGAAAATTTACAAATAGGCTCTCAAAAAAAATGAAATTATTACAACCAAAGAGTTGAACTTGTCAAAAATCAAACCAAATAAGTCGGCTAGACACCTATGCAGTGCTCACACCAGCAACTAACA